ATTTTCAGTTCAGGAGCAGGCAGATATATTTCATTTTACTGTAGTTATCCATTTGACAGTTTTCATAATAAAATTAAAGGAAAATATTTCGGTTCATTATCATGGTTGCATTATGTATCTAACAACTAGTGTAAAAAATAATCACTTTTTACTGAAACCAAATACAGGAAAAGATAGTCCGTGAAAAATTCTATCTACCTGATCTTCTCAAAAATTTTTAAGTTCCTTATAGTGTTTTTCTGAAACGCTTTCTGAAATTTAGCTTTTTTGAAAATCGAGATTTTGCACCTAACATTTAAAACTTTCAGCAGAGTCGTCACATAAAACAGGAAGTAAAGGAGATTAGATTTTATTTTGCATAAGATTATTAAAAATTGAATAAAGATCATAGTTTAGTTCAAAAATTGGAAAAAAAATCATCTGTTAATTCAAGAATTGGCAATTAATACTAATTAATTGATTTTCTAACAGTGATCAGACAAGCGATTACTTCTTCACAAAAACGAAATAAAAAGAAAATCTGTTTGCACACTGTTCGAAAGAGCATTTCAAACACTCTTTTATGTAATAGTCAGTCATTCTTCAAACTTATCTTTAAACAAGAAACTAGATTGCAGTTGCGCTGTGCACAAGTTGCGATGTCGACAGACTCTGTCCCTAACTGCTCCAACCAGATCCTATCAGAAGGCTCTGAGCAATACATTTTTACTTTGATTTACTGTTTGAACTGCTTATAAGATAAAAGAATAATGAAGGAAATTTGAAAAAGTGAGACTCTAACTAAATGGCATCGGACAAAAAACAACAATAATAATCTAGGTTCAACCGCCATTTTTTTTGCCCACTTATGGAGCTTATACCGCCGAGTTTGTATCTTTAAATGAGTAAAGAACGTGGAATGGTCAATTTTCAGTTTCCGTAGAACACTGTCCCTTTTTCAAACCTTCTCTACGATGAGCAGTTTGCTGGATCATGGCGTTCTCTTTTCGCAAAAAAAGGTCATAAAGAAACAATAAAAAACCAGCATAAATGCTAAATGTCTATCGACATAAAGAACCGTTTCGAAGAAGATAGAGAACGAATAATTTGACAATTTACCAGAACATTTTCAGTGATGTGATGTTAAGTTTTTGAATTTTTTCTCAATAAAGTTTTAAGAGAGAAAATTTTGTTTGATACACATGTTGTATGTCAAACTTTGCTCTTTCAAACAAAAAACAAGCAAAATCTCCAAAATAGTGGAAAATATGAAGAAATAACGCTCAACATTTTGTGCAAAACTTATACATAGATCGTTACTTTTGCTACATGTTAATTTAAGTGTCTGTTGTATATTAATTATCAAACGATGATCAATTTATTCAAAAACAAAAAACATGAGAATACAATGTTTAAAAATATAGGTATGCTATTATGAAGTGTGAATTGTTCATCAATATAGTGTTACTGCCCATATCATAAATATAAGTAATAACGATGTCAATGTTCCGTGAAGAGTGAGCGAATTGGATGTTGGTGTTGTCACTGTTTCTGTTACTAGTGGTGTAGTAACGGTTGGTATAATAACGGTTGATATTTCTGGTTTATGATTTTCAAATACTGTGTCATCAATCATTATCGTGCTTTTTATATTTTCTCGAATTTCCTTAAAAATCTCTAATCGACTGCAATTATTTGTACGACAGTATACATCAATTTCCCATAAATCCAGTGTTTTTTCCCCATTCAAATGATAATTCGCATCAATTATGACTTTGTTTTTAATAGACGGATCATGTGCAATACACAATGATTCATAACAATCTTCCGGTGAATTCTCTGGTTTCTGGAAAACATTTCTTACCCTACAAAGTCCGTTACATTCTTCTTCCTTACAGCTTTCATCAACGCAAGATTGAGCATCACATTTGTAACAGGATGGTTTTGTTGCATCGGATTTTTCCAAAATGTTATTATTCAACCATGATGAATCCAGATTTAACGAAAAAGTATGTGGCAATGATTGAATTAGTTTTGGATCATTACATTTATCCCAATTGCATCCATAATTAACCATATCGTTTCTCGAGTACCATCTTTTTTGAAGATCGTCATAGATTATCGATTCTAGAACAGATACATAATGAGGATTTTTTATCTGTTTCTTTGGACTTGATCGATCGATATGACCCAAAACAATACGACCATCAAGATTTGATAAGGTTATAACACAGTATGTATTAGTTCCATTGAAAAATACAGTTTCCGTACAACTACATTTCTCAGAAATTTTACAGGAACATTCGTAACATGACAAGCTGTCAATTTGTACAACATTAAATAATACTAGTAACGAAATGAAATAGAAAATCATTTTTAAATAAATTAACAACTAGATTAGAATATTTAACGACTATAGGCACATAATTTTTAAACTGAAATACTTTAGGTTTTTTTTAATGACAGTTCACATTTTTTGTTGTAAATTTTTTCGTGAGAAAACAACCAGATTTCATTTTGTATATAAATATGTTTTCATAATTACTCATCGATATATCTAAAAATTATTCATATAACTCACAAAAAAAAAAACATTACTTACTTTTTACATTTTGTAAAACTGATACTGGAGTAATTTCGCGAACATTTGACTAATATTAAATATGTAGCAAACATCGAGACCTATCTCAAGAGAAAAGCTCATAAAATTATAATTTAAAGTATGTTCTGTAAAAAATTTAAAAATCAAAGGTTAAACAGTGACACCGACATGACCAATTTTTATCAACATTTTTGTTAATAACGATGAACAGTAAATATCTGTTAATTTTACCACAAGTTTTTATCTACTACAGTCAGACTAAAGTGGTATGGACAACCATATTCTGAAATGTAGGGTACAAGGCACGTATCCTATAATGTAGATTATAGTACAAGTTAGAGTAAATAGTGCATTTTTTGACATGATAACAAAACTAAATTTCATATAAATTCTTTAAATAGTTTTCAATCCCTGTTCATATAGCGATTTATTTTTTATTTGTACCAACTATCAATTACTATTTTTAGAGATTAGTAACAGTACTTTTACAAAAAAATATAATTTTCGTTAATTTTGAGTTTTTACTTTAAGAGAATCTCAGACAAAATTTGATGAATTTGTTTTATTCTGAACATGCTTTTAAAATATGCAATTTGTTTACGTTAATCTCCCAATCCAATGTTCATTTAGAAGTTTAACGTCAAAAAGCTGAAAAATCTTTGAAGTATATTACGCAGAAGGATTCTAGGTCTGCAACAACGACTTTTTCAAAGCCAAATAATTTATCTCTACAATTAAAAAGTTGTGTATAAAGTGATCGACACTTGATGAAACTATTGCATCGAATATGAAAATTCATTTTTCGACGGTTACTAGATCATTTTTTTTAAGTAGTACATGGGTTTACTCTTAGTTTGTCCCAAATTGACTTCTCAATTCGTCCCATGAAGCTTGTTTTCTCTGTTCGTCTCCTAATCTCTTTCTCGGTTCGTCCCATCAACACTTCTCTCTCAATTCGTCCCATATTAGTTTCCATTTAATTAGCTTTAATATAATTGTCCGTACCTCTTGCGTAAGGTGGTAAACATGACTGTTCTGGGTGTATAAACAGTTATATTGGACAAACAGCGAGAGCTGTGCATGTGTGTGCTGATTCATCCCGTAAAATTGTCACATCGTCTGTACATAATGATATTGTACTTGAACATGTTCGATCGCAACACCGCCATTAATTATTTGTTTTGTTTGCTCGTTTTTTGGTGTATTAATATCCATTATGATAAAAAACTGATTTGTCTTTTTCAGTAGACGTGAAAATTAACATTTTGATGAACAAGACACTTACCCTTATTTAGATTTAAATTTGTGATAGTAGTGGCTAACACGACACATTTTGCCACGTACGCACACCTAGTATTGTCTACAATACCCACCGTCTCCGTCTAAATTGTTCGATGGTACAACACTTTATTTATTTTGAGGCGCGACCATAGATATCTGAGATGAACTGAGAAAAAAGCTTCATAGAACGAATTGAGAAGTCAATTTGGGACGAACTGAGAGGACGACAGTACATGAGATCAATACAATCAATCGAAAAGAAAATATGCAAGAGACTACCTCAGATAGAGGGTATACGCGAACAGAAAAAGGAAAATAGAAGCATATATAATAGATCTTAACCCTAGTGAATGTACTTGAAGCTAAGAATTTATTCAAGGTACAAATAATGAAGCCAGTCTCCGGTGGTTTTTCACAAGTAGTTTTATTTATAAGTTATTTGAATTTACTTCCAAGTACTTGCCAAGCACTTGGTTGACCTAATGTCAGTAACTTTACTTGAAAAGCTACATCCAAGTACTTGTTCCATTTATCTTTATTTTGTACATATTGTTCAGTCATATTCTACTTTTGTAGAGCAGAATGCATGGTTACCAAGTTTGTTCAACTCAGTAGAAACAAAATATTGGAAATTATTGTGTAAGTTCATATCGATTGATAAAATTGCTTAAAAACAGTGATAGAGAAAACCTTTTAAAAATAATTCGCAACATTGTAGAAAATCGACTCGATTTTCCAGATTCTAGAAAATCGAAATCGATTTTCTATAAATAAATTCCAGCATTCTTGAAATTCGACAGCGATTTTCTAAATAGTTGGAAAATCGAATTCGATTTCCTAAGAAAACGACTCAGTGATTTTTTTCTTGCTTCTTTCGCATCTAGTAAAGCATATACATTGCAACAAGTTGTCGTGTAACAGATCTCTGCTCGTTTTAGTATTTAACATCCGAAATGTTAGTAGCTTCGGAAAGTTCTCTCAGTTTTTGCAAAGCAACATATTCTTCGAGAAGTATTGTTGCCGTATGACACTTGGAGATCACAAAGAGGCACTGAAAAGGTTCTTTGGTTTGCCTGGTTAAGATACAGTCGAGTTCCACCGCAACTTTCTGAAGATCCCGAAGCGATTTGCTCTTGCTAATATTCCTCATTTTTATGTCTGAATGAAATTTAGCATCTTCCGAAAATGTACTAGATTATATTAACTCAAAGACATGATCCTAACAATTCACATTTATTTTCTTTATTTTTTAAATAAAATAACAGTCGTTCAACACGCAAGCGATGGCGAATTTGGTTTTCATTAGTAAAAGATCCATATTGTCATCTAATAAGCTGAAATAATACAACCACTCAACTTCGAAGTTCAATAGCTTTTAATAATGGTGAAAAAGTTCAGCCATTTTCACACAAGTCTCTGATTATCAGCATTCTTATTCAAATTGTTCTTCCTCATCATCTAAAAAATCGCCGAGCATTTTCTATAAATAATTTCCGACTTTACAGTGTAGGGCAGTCTGTGGGGCCTGAAAGTTGGCTATTTTTAAAAAAAGAGCCTTCAAAGATGGACTTCGTACTCAAAGTGAAAGATAGGTATTGAGTTAATTCTTTTTCGATTAGCTTATCCAGCTCCTCAGCTTCATTTTCATCCATAGTGTAAGAACTTTTGTTTTGCGTTCAGAAGAGGTAAAATACTGAATGCCATTTTCTTATTTTCAGCCCTTTTGTGGCAGCTACCATCCCTCTATGAGAGTAGTAAACAAGTTTTTAATATCAGTGTTTGTACTACTCGAAATGCTCTTTCGTGTGATACGTCCAACGGTGGCGTAAGTAAGCTCCGGAGATGCAGAGAAAAACAAGATCAAAGGTGCTTTATTAGAGGGAAAGTCGAAACTTGACATCCCTAAAAAGAAAGGTAGAATATGACTTTTTTAGGGAACAGATATGGGATTCTGTGTAACTTTATGCTCTACACGACAGGAGTCTTGATCTTTTTGCGACTCTTACGTCTGTATAAACTGGGCGGACATGAATGGAAGTATCCAGCTGGCGTCAGATCACCGAGGAATGCGTACATAATGAATGAGTCATACGTGTGTTGTGGCTAGCGAAGAGGAAGTAGAGAAAAGCATTTTAAGTACGATTTCTTATCAACTAGGACAAGACATCAATCATTCGGACTCCTGTCTTGACTGTTTCATTAAAAATTCATATAGTTTATTCTCCCTTTCACTACTATATGGTTGCTCAGTCAATCATACGTTTCAGTTATCTCATATTTAACTGAAGAGGTTTCTTTTCAATTCATCACACTTATTCTATCTCCTCGTGAATGATATAAAGCAAAATGCAAAATTTCTTACACACATACATTCTACTGAAAGATGTCGCTACGTGTCACATCTAACACAGGTTAGTGAGTATTAGAAGTGTATTCGAGGACATAAAATTGCATTCATTTACGAATTTATTTATCAAGAAGAGAAAAAAATAGAAACCAAAAAGTGCAATGCTCATCTTATATTGTCTATATAACTTCATTTTTGATTCGTGTAGTCAGTACTGATTGGAAAGGTAAACGTTGGAAGACTAAATGGAATTCTTTCGTCTGAGGCACGAGAGACTGAATTTGAGTTACACTTGATGTAAAAGTTAGGCAAAAAGCGTACTCGTAGTTTTCCCTTTAGTTTTTATTGGCGTATTTCGTCTATCTTATCTGATTTGCTTAAAACGTACATAGCGGAAAAAAGATGATTAACAGAAATATTTACCGTCACTGTATTATACTCCGTATAAGACATGGCATATCTACGCTAATAAAAGCTATGAGGGTTGTTCTTCGACTTGATTTCTAAAATTTAGAGCAAAGCTATAAAACTGACAAGAACATTTCAGACATGCTGCATATTTGCCTATTTACCATATACTTTCTACTTAAGATGTTAATATAAATTCTGAAAATATGTCAACTCAGCTTTTGTTACCCTTAAATCTCAGAGTCATAGCAAGAATAGTTAAACTGTTACTACGGATTACTTTGTCAACTATTGCTGACTGGAATAATCTTCCAGAGTCAGTTATTTCTCTTTCTTCTTTAACGTCCTTCAAAACAGCTTTATGTCAGTATCTCTTCCAGTGAAACATTTGTCAGAAGAATTTAAGAATTTATATTTGTTCTTTTTTTACTACTTCTGGTTCTAACCTTAGTTGTCTTATTTATTTTGTTCTTTTGTATTATTCTTTTTGTGTTGTTTGGCTTGAGTCACTCATTATAGATCAGTGACCTTTGATGACTCTCACTTTTCGTGAATAAAACAGTCTTAGCCTGTTGAAACATCAACACTTTTTGGATTTGTTCTCAATTAGCTTAGTGTTTTAAATGAGTATTTTGAGTAAAATGTACTTACCATTTTCAAGCTTTTTTCTACTAAAAGCAGAGTATATATAATTTTTAAAGTATCGGTGCACTTTGTCAGTAAAAATATTGTTTCAGTTCTTTGTCAAAATGATTCCTATCTTTCCCGTCGTGTTGACAAACACTTCGAAAAAAGTGCGAAAGTTCCTACGACTAATTTATTTATGATAAGTTGACAGTAGCCACTATTATCATCCTTCTTTTTAGATGATTTTATTTTATATTGGCCTTCAATTAGGCACCATATTTTTAATTGCACAAGGATTTCCGTTGCAAATAGATCCATCTTTTGGTCAGCCTGAACAAGTCCACATTTCATATGGACGTATGTTTTGTTTATTACTTTACTATACAATGATTAATGTAGTTCGATTTTTTCCTTTCAGTCGATCCCTCTATAATGGTTGTGACATGGATAACGTTGAATGAAGTGAATGACTCTGCTGTGGAATATGGAATTGAAACTTTTGATAAACGTGTTAATGGATCAGTAAGCATCTTTAACGATGGTGGTAGTGAAAAACGAAAAGAATATGTTCACAGAGTAGTTTTACATGAACTAACACCGGGACAAAAATACTGTAAGTCTCCAAGCTATCCATATGCTATCCTATACAATTGTTTCTATTTAGATTATCACTGTGGTAGTGACTTAGCGGGATGGAGTTCAGTCTATTGGTTTACAGCAATGAGAAATGATTCGAATTTTGTAGTTAGAATGGCGATATATGGCGATATGGGGAAAGAAAACGCACAATCCCTTGCAAGATTACAGGAAGAAACGCAAGCGAACCATTTTGATCTGATTTTACATGTGGGTAAGAGAAATTGAATCATCTCTTGTATTTTTGAGTTAGAATTATGAAGAAAGTATCAGGAAGGCAAGCATAAGTAGTGTTGGTAGTGTATGCAAGCATGTAGTAGCTGTTGAAAATTATCTCGGAGAATTACGCTTCATCTTAATTATCATGACCTTGTGACCAACTAATATAGACGAAATGCTCTAATATCTCTTTTTTATCTCTAGGTGATATGGCATATGATATGAATATTGATAATGGACGTTATGGTGATCAATTTATGAACGAAATACAATCAATTGCTACATACATCCCATATATGACATGTCCAGGCAATCATGAAAACGTATAGTAAGATTACTTTTTAACAGTTAGAGCATCACAATTTTTTGCATCGATCATTTGAAAGTTGATCACTCTAATTTAAAAAATTTGTAACAGTTTAAATTATACAGAAACGTGGTTGTTTAGTGCTCATCAATTTTTATGCACTTTTTTTTTAGTAATTTTTCACAGTATGTGGCGAAATTTAGTATGCCCGGGGCAAACAATAATTATGGTGGTGATTCTAATCATTTTTACAGGTATTGACAGACTCTTTTGATCTAATAGATTGTGAAAGTGGTTTTTCTATTAGTTTTAATGTGGGTTCGATGCATGTGATCGGTTTTTCGACTGAGTTTTATTATTATCTTGAGTATGGCTACGAACAAATAATGAGACAATATCATTGGTTAGAAGAAGACTTAAAAGTAAGAGGATCTTACTTCTGTAATAAGAGATGATCGTATTAAAGTATATAAAAGTAGAAATCTATCCTAAAATGGAAAGAAAACGGATTCGTTTTTTTCTAGGAAGCGAATAAACCAGAAAATCGTTTACGATGGCCATGGATTTTAGTAATGGGTCATAGACCAATGTACTGTTCGAATAATGATGATGATGAATGTTTGAACAATGGAGGCTATATTTATGTGAGTATGTTTTTCTATTTATTTATAGAAAGTAAATTGTCCACAAATATCGTAGTTAGAATAAAAATGAATCCTAGACCGATGTATAATAATAATAATGATACTGTTCTTATCATTCAAATCGAGCGAGTGGATGTGCACGATGCTTATTTTTGCCTTGAAAAGGATCAGCTATCTAACTATTTTTTTTTTCAGGTGAGAACAGGACTGCCATTTATCCATGCATATGGTCTTGAAGATCTTTTCATGCAATATGGGTGAGGAATCAGAACAATGAACGATTGAGAATATTGTAACAAAGGTAATTATTTGATTTTTAGTGTCGATTTAGAATTTTGGGCACACGAGCATAGTTATGAACGCCTGTGGCCAGTTTATGATAACAAGGTAACAGTTGGAGTAAGCCAACATTTTCTTTCAACACGTTCTTCCTTTTGTTTAGATTTACAACGGCACAGATGGTGCCTATATTGATCCTGGAGCTCCAGTTCACATTATAACCGGCTCAGCTGTACGGATTTATCTGTCATTCTGTTTGTTTTTCAATTATTATCTAAACATTAACTTTTTTCCTTAGGGTTGTCCTGAACGTCATGATCCATTTGGTCCTCCTCGAAATTGGACTGCTTATCGAAATGGTGATTATGGTTTTACACGAATGAATGTTTACAATGCTTCACATCTTTATCTTGAACAAGTGTCTGATGATCAGGTAAATCGTCAATCTGTAATACACAGCTAAATCAAGATGTTTTCTGTTTCTTGAACCATTACATGTTTTTTCCTTTACAGGGTGGTAAAGTTGTTGATAGTATGTGGTTGATTAAGTCTAAACATGGTCCATATCCATCACTTAAATTGTAATATTTGTTTATTTTAATGATGCAGTGCAATCGATCGGCTTACTTTAGCAATACTTGTCTTTCGGTTTTGTAAGATATAGCTATCATTTATAAAAAGTATTTAATGTGGTTTTGTTTTATTTTTAATTTCTATTTTTTTACGCATTTCAATCACTGATATATATGATTATTTTTTTGACTTTTTTTGTGATAATTGAATAAAACGACGAAAATCTTATTTCGTTATTTTTCTGTCGTTTTCCATTTTGAGTACTTTTGTGTTTTTGACTCTTTTTCAAATTGACTGGGGCTTCTTATCCAATTCAACCTGTCTGTTTTCTTTTAGATCACATCGTTATATTGTTTTTTTTAGTTGAAAGTCTCCTAGAAATAGTTAATCTGTTTATACCTGTGCAAACTCGACATATTTTACTTGCTTTGGTAAAATAAGTAGATTCAGCTTCATCATTCTGTTATATGAGTTAACAGTAACCTTTAGCAGAAATAGTCGCATTGACTCGCAGTTTTTATAAGGTTGTGGTGGATGAATGTTTGCTAGGAAAATTTAACATTAACATGTAAGTTTTATCGGTTATATACCTTGCAGAGTTAGAATGAAAACTCTGAAAAGAACGATTTCATTTAAGAAAATTTTCTCGATTGAATAAAACTGTTATAATTTATTAGCTTGAACTGTCCCTCATTTTATTTCAGATTTAATCTTATCTTTTATCTCTATACAGAAGTTAAACATCTTCAAAAATGACAAAAAAACGACGTAATAATGGTCGTAGTAAACATGGACGTGGACGTAAGTTAATGATCTTCTACTTGATCCGTGTTTTCTTATCGTGTCACTGTATTGAATCATACGTAGGCTAATTAACTTTTTTTCTCAAGACACTAGCTCATTTGAAAGAAGTTGACAATTATACTCTCCGACATTCCTGCTACATTTTCATCACATTTGATTTATCATTCATGGCTGAAATGTACAGAGAACGTTTTAGACCTTACTTAATGAGAAATTTGTTTTGTAGACATCAAATTTAGACAAGTTCTGTTTCCTGTTCGTTTTCGTGCACTGTAGGAAAATTAGTGCTATCTCTCGAACATATAATAACTATAATTTGATAATTCTTGTTTGTTTATTTGTCTTAGGCGTTCGTCCTGTCAATTGTACAAATTGTCGTCGTTTAGTACCAAAAGATAAAGCAATAAAAAAGCTGATTATTAGAAATATTGTTGAGCAAGCAGCTGTTAAAGATATTGGAGAAGCAAGTGTTTATCAAAAATATATATTGCCAAAATTATATTATAAATTACATTATTGTGTATCTTGTGCTATTCACAGTAAAGTTGTTCGAAATCGTTCAAAAGAAGCACGAAAAATACGTCAACCATTATTACGTCCAACTGGTATGAAACCAAATATGACCGGTGGTGGTGGTGGAGGACAAATGGCGGGCTCTGGTGGACAACGAGGTGGAAATCAGGCAGCACAACAACCGGCTACCATTCCAGTCGCAAGAAGTTAAAAAACAAGTACGAACAACAAAAACATACAAAGGCAATATATTATGATGTTGCTGTTTTTCCGTTTGTGAATGAAAGAACAAAAATAAATCGTCTTTTGTTTATTGTTGTTTAAAACGTTGAAACAAATAAGAATAAAACGATCATTTATTATGGCGCTCAGCATATTTTTTTGCTAAACTTCACAGGAAATAATATGTTTGTCGGCAACGATCAGTACATATATCTTGACTGAATAAAATTCGGTGATGAAATTTCTTCCACCTTTCGCAGATTTTTTCTCCGCATCATCAAAACGTTATAATAACAAATTTGGCCATCTAAGAGTCAGAATGCTTTCAGTAAATATTTAGAACTTATTCATGATAGAACTGTAATGTAATAGTTTGTCACATTTCTTACAATCTGTCAAAAAAATAATATGTTAGTCTTACAAAATCGGTTGAAAAAGTCAAACTATATCGCAGGTAGTTTTTTTCTTATAATTCTAGGCATCTGTGATTCACGAACGATTTTTTCATTATTTTTGTCTACAACAGATTTGAGTTTTTCGTTTTCTTAAGAGAACAAATATACTACATACTATTTTATTCACATATTTTAGATTATAATAGATTTTTAATTGAAAATTTTTACAGGAAACTACTGTTAAAAATATTTAGTTGTAGTTTCAAGCCAATTCGTTCATTATAAAGAAATATGGGTACTTGTTCACGTCGTTTGAATTTATTACTGGGTGTAACTGGTAGTGTTGCAGCCATTAAAGTATCTGAATTAGTTCAATTATTTAATGATAAGAATTTTAATATTATTATTATACCAACAAAAGCTTCTCAATATTTTATGAAATTAGATGAACAATCAAATATACAGCATGGAATAATTAATGATTTAACTGCGAATAAAAACGAAGTTAAAAATCTCTATTTTTTGGATGAAGATGAGTGGTTAACATGGCATGAACGAAATGATCCTATATTACACATTGAACTGAGAAATTGGGCGGATATCTGTCTAATAGCACCATTAGATGCTAATACTTTAGCAAAATTATCTAATGGTTTATGTGATAATCTTTTGACAAATGTTGTTCGAGCATGGGATATTAGAAATAAATTATTATTTCTAGCACCAGCCATGAATACATACATGTACGAACATCCTCTAACTAGAAAACAATTGGATATTTTGAAAACATTTGGATATATAGAAATTGAATCTATCGAGAAAACACTCATGTGTGGACAAAAAGGTTTAGGGGCAATGAGTAGTACACAAACAATTGTTGATACAATTATTAGTAGATTAGCTGAGAGAACTTAATTACTTTTTTCTGTGATAATGAGGGAAGAAGATAACAAGATTACGTTCGTGTTTTAATCGTTATAGTAAAGCTAAGAATTATCATAGTATCCATTCGTATATAGAATAAACCATTATTAAGGATGGATATGATATCGAGATCCAGTTGTTTTTTACAGTAGAAAGATATGAACTGATATTATCGATTTGGTCACAGAACTTTGGAGAAAGATATTGGATTATTTTGATCCCATGTGACATTATCTATAGTTTTTTGAATCTTGATCAATGAATCATGATTATTCAAAATGGTCCAGTACATGGTGTTTTAGTCAATATTTATCGAAACGCTTTTTTATTATTCTTGTCAAAATTTGGCTCAGAACCAAATACGTTTATTTATAATACCATTATTTCAATATCAATTAAATTATTCATCTTCATTTTTTATCAATAATATTACTTAAACCAACATGGCTGGATGGTAAGACTATTATTGACTAGATTAGAAAACAACAGCAGGCTTATATAATTATCCATCATCATGGAGAGGTTGCGGAGAAAAAAATATATATTCACAAAGAGATATTCTAAATACCATAATAAAAATTGGGTTATTATTATCAACCAACATTATTTTACGTTATAAATTGATAACAGTATCTATCGAAATAAATGTTTTTCACTCAAGTCTTGCTTGATCGGATGCTAAATTAGAACAACTTTTCAAACAATTACACGAATCACCCTTCACTGATAAAGCTCATGGAGATCTGAGATATATGGATCATTGACAAAGACACAAAAAGATAATTGCAGCCGTATTCAAATCTGCGAACGGTAGAAATAACATAAACTCTGTGTTCATTTATAATGTTGTGATACAAAGTAGAGTAGTTGTCATGTTGACTGTCTAAACTGGAAAATCTCACTGAAACTTCAGTCGTTTTTTGTAAGATCAATATTATACAAAGTTGTGAGAAATGGTATAGTGGATGATTTGAAGATCAGCTAATATTCAGATTTTATTGAAACCTGTATGAACTGTTAGAACAGTAGAAACGAGGAGTCACTCAGTTCGAATTCCCATGGAAAGAAATGCTCTTTTAATCATTTTCATCTCAAGGTACTGTTGATTATTTAGCTGAAATAAAATTTTTAATGTTTAATTGATATTATTGTGGAGAATCGCCAAGAGTGTATATAAACATGTTCCACATTTACATATAACAATCAATAATATCAATCATTTCTGTGTTCACTCACATGCTACGTCACATCTGTGTTCTTTAATAATTCATCATAAGTAGAGTAATGTGGATTAGTTAATTGTGATCATATTAATAGAATAATTCGTTATTTTAACTGGAAACATTGTCAAACATGACAGTTATATATGTTCATAAAAGTTCGTATCAAACTTATTCACCTATTTATCACAACTTTATATATTAATCTTCTCACATACTGCAAAAAATATAACAAATGTGTTCTAATCATTATCGATAGTAAATTGTACGTTTATATTAAGAAAGCATGATTATGGTAAACAATTTTCACATTGTCGACGTGTGATAATATTATTCGTCTGTATACAAATTTGGAACGGTTTACATCTAGAGTAACAACATTAGAAAATTTATTTCATTTTATTGTTGATATTAGAGCATACACAAAAAAAACTTAAATTGTTAACAAATAGACGCATATTATGAATAATTGAAACGAGATAAAATACGAAAGTGGTTTAAACACAATGAGATAACAAGAGATGTAATGTTAATCTGTTCGGAAAATAGTTTGAGTTGTACTTATAATTTGTACATTTGTATTTACTTTATTAATGCGTTGCAAAAATTTTAACTTTTTACTTATAGAAGTGTAAAATTTGTCAACTTTATATCAAAATACACACTTTTTGTGCATATACACACTTTTTACTAAAAATAGCAGCCGCTTGTTGGATCCTGTTCTAGTGGCGAAAAACTAAGAAGTCTTTAAACAATATATTATTATCGAGGATCGATGCAGGAAGCCAGTAACTTTCGACTCCGATAGATCTTGATTTGTAGAGTTGACAACTGATGAGTAGTAGCTTTAAAAGATATTTGCTCAAGAGTTTCGGATGATCATTAAGAGTCGATATTTTAATGAACCTATTTGATTAATCTAATCTATTTTAACTTTTTGAACAAATCAAATATTATCTTACGCGTTTAAAGAAATTTATTTTTCATTCATTCATTTGCCTAAATGTTTTAACCATCAGCTTTTAGAAACTATTATTACTTTTAAAACTAATTTTTTCAATTTGTTTTTCAGATAAATAGTTGTAAAAATAAAATGCGTATTCGTTTTAAAGAATTTAATGGTGTTGCTATATGGAAATGGATAGCGAATGATGATAGTTGTGGTATATGTCGTATGCCATTTGATGCGTCGTGTAGTGAATGTCGATATCCGGGTAATGATTGTCCGGTATTACACGGTGAATGTAGTCATTGTTATCATGAACATTGTATTAAAAAATGGATTAATTCACAACAGACAAATAAACTATGCCCAATGTGTCGACAAGAATGGAAAAGTGTACCTTAATTGAACAATTCGTTTCTTTCTCTTCTTTGTTGTAAATAGTCAGGAAATTTCATTTGTGTATTAAACAATCCAAATGTATTTCTATGTTGATGTTGAATAGTTAATTCAAGTAGAAAATTTAACAGCTTTTGAAATATTTTTCAACCATATGATTGTTTTCTAGTGCTGAGTGGAAATTCTGAAGCATCCATCCACTAAATGTCCTATAACGGGTGATGCAAAAGTTCCTGCACAAATGTTGAGAATTATTTCTGCATGTCGCCCGATGTGTTGAAAAGTTAATATATTTATCTATTGGAAAGACCAAATCTGACCTTCAATAAACACAGAAAAGAAAACATTTTGCGGTTGAGTGTTAACCCTTTACACCCGCCGGTCCCCTCCAAGGGACATTGATGTGATAGGTTTATAAAAAGAATGGATCATTAGCTCAAAAGATAAATTTTTTTCTAAGCTAAGACGATCAATAACTTTACGTTTGATTGAAATAAAAAAGAAAAATTTTACATTTCAGTCCAGTGGATATTTCAGCTGAAGCTATAATAAAAGTGTCTTAGGTGTAAAGGGTTAATAAGAAAAAATTTAAATACGAAACGTCATCAAAATAGCTCTTTTGTAACTTCCTCTCTCGTCAAACGTATCTCTTCTATCAAATACATGTTCTTCTATGTCAGAATACGTCTGAAATTACATAATTATAGGAACTAGAAGTGTTTTTTTATCACTCTCTCAAATAGAGTGTAATAAATTATCTTTTGATTCATTTTTCAACCAGAAATTATCAAAGTTTTAACACGGTTAATTAGGCTTAATTAATGATTTCCAGGTACGATCGAATTTTGTTCTTTTTCTAACACACATTTTCTGAAACAGCATTCAATTCTCTACAAACTCACATTAGTTTTAGTCTTTGTTAACATCGTTCGCACCCTGGCTAAACAGATTTTCTCGATATTTTATCCTTTTTGTACCAAGTGACGCTTTTTACCAAAATTAAGTTTTGTATACGTTTTTCTAATTGAACGTGACTTGATCAAACAGATACAATGTCAACTCAGAGTTTTGATAATTTGAAAAAGATTCAAGCCATGATTATTTTCTTCTTCTAAGAATACAACACCAATTCGAAGTGAAAAGGAAGAAAAAAAATATTTGACAACGGTGGGATTCGAACCCACGCGTACAAAAGTACACTGCGACCTGAACGCAGCGCCATAACCACTCGGCCACGCTGTCTGAAAGACTAAATCAATGTTTCGATAGTAATTCATGCAAGTAAATTTTTTATAGGCGCTTGTTATATAATAAAGTGCATCTTTTATGCAGATACATTGTAATTTGAGTTAATTATTAGTACTTATTTTATTGTACAATGATATTCTCGAAAATTTTTAACGCATAGTAAGTAGTAACGCGCATCACTTCAAGTTTTTGAAGAAGATCTTGCGTTTTAGTGAAATATAATTTCTGCTCGTAATGAACTCCAAAGGATTACCAATTGCTTTCGTTCTCAGATATGAGTAGAGTAGACTGGGGTAATTATAACCAGACACAAACTTTTTCTCAGTATTTTACGAATGGTTAATCCATTTTTAGTCCGAGAAAAATGGTGACTACACAGATAGATACATATGACTTTCAGCTATGCGCTGATGTAAAAATTGTCT